ATGAATCATCATAATATAGAAGTTTTTTTTAATTTGCAAATAATTTAAGCTTATAAAATGAATAATCAACATTAACTTAAATCCTCAATAGTGTAACAATAAACTATAATTCTATGTATAAATAAAATGGATAAGCTCTCAAGAATAACATTAGTGAATTAAAAAAAGTAAAATAGAATAAAGTAACTACATTCACAAGTAACTCTCCAAGATAAAATTATGAATTTATGCTTGCGAGTCCAGTAGCATAAATGTAGTAAATAAATGTTTAATTAGAAGAATCGGCGGAATTAAATTCAAAATTATTCTAAAACTTTGCATAAATTAGCTAAAATCAAGAATTTTAATCTTTTAGTAAGATTTAAACTTAGAAATCAGCTGAGAAATAGTCAATTTTAAATTAGAATGACAAATTTAATTTTAGCTAATTTGAAGAAGCAAATCTTGAAAATGTTCAGACAAGCATGGATGCTGGATAAGACAATTTAACTTCTTAGATTTAAAAATACATAACTGATATTGCTCCACTATCTAGTAAGCGCGGCTTAATTTAAACAATAACATCTCCATTAACAAAAAAAACATAAATACAAAAAATCAATGAAAAGAAAGTTAAAGACTAAAAATATTCAAATAAAAGTTTTTAAACATAAGAGGTAAATAAATTATAATAATAGAATATTGATATTTAATCTATATCTTCTTCCTCAAACAGTGTATAAACGCGGTAAATAATTTATATTTAAATTTTTTTTTTATTAAAATTGATTTTTATTATTTTAATAATAAGGACATTTAAAATTCTTAAATTTTCTATATATACAAATATTTAATTAATTTATATTTTTTTAATTTAAAAAGATAAGTTTTTGAAAATATACACAAAAAAAATCAGATGAGATATCTTAAAATAATAAATGCTTTCGGAATATTATCAGCTTTAGCTATTCTTTCTTTGATATTGTTAGCATTTTTTAACTTTCTTACAAGCTTAGTTTCTCAAAGAGAAAACTTCAAATACATTAACTGGATTTATATGATTAACGTACAAATTAGTTATTCCCTTTCAGAGCATAATATTATTCTGCTAAACTAATACAATCTTTTATCTACACCAACTGCTCAATACCAACCTTTCATGGATCTCTTAAATGAATAAAATTAATCTAGGATATCTCTGAGTAAACAACAGATGAATTTACTTTATAATAATACTAACAAAGATTTAGAAGTTTTTAATATAATTTAAAATAATTACATCATTTAAAATATATATCAAAGCAATACTATATCCTAATAGTAAAATCTTTCAATGATATATTCAATACTCTTATAGATTTTTGGGATATTTTATTTTGTTTCTAACAATGATCCTTTAGGAATAATAAAAAAATAAAATGAGATAAACTATCCAGATTTAAATGAACAAGTTCAATCTATTTTTTCTGAGATGAATGATGACTATTAAAATTAACTTTCATCCATTAAAAGTCAAAGTCTTATTTAATTATATGTTATTACCTTTATCATGCTTCTTTTTTTGATTAGTGTCATACCAAGTTATATCTTCTCTAAAAAGAAATAGCAATAAATTTTAGAACTCTTTGCAACTTTTGATAGGCTACAATTGAAAGATATTCTTGATCAGATAACTCGTTAGCTATAATTTTACTCAATTGATCAAAAATAAAATGTTATTAAATACTAAAATAAAATTTCTAATGGTTAATTTAAAAATCATCATCATACTAACTCTGAAAAAAAATTAAATATTAGTAAAACTTCTTCTTTAAAATACTCTGTAAAGAAATTAATAGTGGTATTAATTTTAATATTTTGCTCAACAACAATTTATCCAATAATAAATTATTTTATTGTGAAATAATTTATTGATAATTCTATGGTTATTTACAATTTTAACAGTAAGTTTTTTTATTTTCTCATAATTTAAAATTATTTTCATTCATTTATTTATTAATAAAAAGATGTTGTCTGTGCTTCTTATTTTGCAGTATTAAACTCATTAAGAGCTAGATAAGGTCTTGCTATGGCTTTTTTAATACCTTAATAATAAGCTCTATCTATTTAAACTTATCAAGGAATTCTAAATTAGCTTTCAGTTTAGATAAATGAATTACCTAACTTACTAAAACAAAACCTACAGAAAATAGGTTCAACAAGTTTACATAATTAAGAAATGTTTGATGATTTTTTGACTAATGTATTTACTAATAATGCTTGTGATACTATTAATAAATACACTTAATATCAAAATGGAGATTTTTTGTTTGATTAATGCAATACTGTCGGTAAGGGCTCTCTTAAATCAGGTCTTCTTAATGGTATT